CATATATACAAATAATTAAAAGGAAGTTTGAGAGAATTAACCTATATAATTAGCATACTTAATAAAATTACAAGCATTAGCAGCCTAAATTATGTGAGATGGAAGGAAACTTATATAGATGAATCAATTGGTTGGGCCCCACATGGCTAGAAATACAATTTTTGTGGGACAAAGCCTTGGAGCTAGAAATACAATTTTTATGGGACGGAGGGAGTACGTGCATCTGCTGGAAGAGGCCAAAATCAAGGAAATCGTGCTGGCAAGAAGTTACCAGCATATCAGGTTGGGCTAGAATTTGGCGCCGGCGGCCCATGGTTGGTATATAAGCAATTCTTGCTCAAATTGTTAGTTTTATACACTCGCTTTTGTATGCATTCTTCTTTTCTAGTTGTAATTCTTCTCCTTTACTAGCAATTACATAATGGGAAGAGTTTCACTAGAAATGAAGTTACACCCAACCTCTACTTCTACCGGTGGGATGCACACGGCCTAGAAAAGAAAAATAAAAACCTAAGACATTGATGCATATCATTCTCTTCCCACAACTCAAACCCAACCAAGACAAGGACATAAAGTATAATGCCAATCTCTGGGAACTGTTTGTCCCATCATTTTTCATTTTCTTTATTTGTCGTATAAACTACTTGGACTGTTTGAGAGGAGAGGAAAAGAGAAGAATTAGAAGATATTAATTAAGTATTAATTATTTTAAATTTCAAAAATAGATTAATCTGATTTTTAAAGCAACCTTCATATAGAAGTTTTTTACAAAAACGTACCGTTTAGTAGTTTGAAAAACGTGCGCGCGGAACACGAGACTCAATCTCCCCTATCTCCCCTGAACAGGGAACGAACGATGTTGTGTCTCTTAGGACAGAAGACAAATATGTAAATCTTTTCTATTATATAAAAAATATGATGGACACGTAATCTTCCAAGAAAGATCAATTTTTTGGCTGCATGTCAGCCACTAAATCACCAATAGAGTAGGTTGTGCATTTGCTAGTATGTCAACATAGCTCCGTATTCCTTCACACTCGATGTTTCAACAGAAACATAATGTGGAACAGGGAAGTTACTGTTTGCAAGGCACGAAAGCTTATGCAATGTTGTTCACTGTGATGAACACTATCTGCAATAATCAGAGCAAGCATGGAGAGCAGCCTGACCATGCTATATACTTATTGAGTGATCAGTGATGCAATCTAGTGTATTGGAAATTGGAGTAAGTACCAAGGATTGGGAACATGGGAGATCAGATTTTGTCACAAGGGTACGGCTCATTGTGTATCTCTCTCGGAGGGGTGACGGCGGCGCAGCGCAAGGCTTCATATCCGGTGGTGCCGTGACCGGATCCAGCACCCCCTGGCTCAATGGGGCGTGGAGGAGGCTGAGCGGCGGCGCGCATGCTGGTGGCCGGTGCCGAGGAGGCCGGAGTCAGCACAGCGGAGTTGGCCCTCGTGCGGCCAGATTGGGAAGGGGCAACGGTGAAGCTTGCAGCAAGCGGGCGGCTTTGACGGCGCTACTTCTCGTGACGATGGCAGAGCTCATGGTGATAGCGGCCGGTTGGAGGCGTGGGGTGGAGTGGGGTAGCGCTCCCATGGCCGGTGGTGGAGGAGGACAATTATGAAGGCTGCACGAAGCGTGGGGTGTGCGACGGCAGGGAGGCCAGCAAGGAGCACGGCGCCGTGGCTTGTAGCTGGCGTGCGCAGCACGGAGGTTGAAGCGGTGTGACAGCCGTGGGTGGGCCGGTACGGTGCGCCGGCGAGGCTACCGTGGTGGGAGAATGGAGGCGATGCTCTACCTTGTATTTTTTTTCTTTCGTTACCTTGGATTTAAGTTAGTCTCTAAGAAGAAGAAATCCAAGCTATTCTCGAGCTCAAGTGCTAGAGGCTGAACTTGCGAGGGAAAAAGAAGAAGCGGCAGAACTTCGCGGTCACATTGCTATCCAAGATAAGAACGTGCATGCCTCGGAGTTGAAGGCAGAAGAGTCTCAATTAATAGCGAAGGAAACAAGTGGCTCAGATTGTATACTTGTAGAACAGGACATAGGAAACCCGTGATCTCCTTGGTTCATTGCTCTTCGACTGAAACGGTCAATGAATCTTCTACTTCCCTCATTACGTTCAAAAACTCCTGTTAGCTCATATATATATTTTCCAATGCTATTAAGTTCGACTCAATTCTGTCTTTGGGAACATGTGACATTTTGGTTTGGCATGTAATACTAGTACTTTGCTGCCCTCGAGCAGTTGTCAACTTTCTTAAGTGAAGTCCATTTAGCAACCAACGCATCATCTGGTGATAACAGATATAATTTAATTTTGTCATACATAGTACGATGATATTCATTCCAAACAAGAACATCTGGTGCTCGTTTATCTGGTGACATTTCCGTTCATTAATGGAACGATTCAACAGATTGTCTGGTGAACAAAATCGAGTTGCGCTTGGCCCAATACGTGTTGGACCTAAAATGGGCCTCTAGTATTTCTTGATGACCCAAATCTTCAAAATGGTCCATAAAATGGGCCTCCAATTCAATCCAGGCCATGTCACAATGTTCCGCCACGTAGGTTCCACGTGATCGAAAAGGAGTAACCATGTCAACACCGGTCACATCGCAATGGTCAACCACGTAGGAACCATGTCATCACACTATCCATGCGGTGCCATGACATCAACTAGTTCATGACGATTTGGACAATCGCAAACACTATGACGACGATGCCTATTCTTCATGAACATCTGTGATCTGTGGCTCGGATTTTGTCGAGTAGTTAATCCCAGATGGAGCTTCTGCAACGACGCCCTTTCAACACAAGGTTGTCACTTAACACGACTTGTGATGGAATTTCGCTAGTTTCTGATGAAAGTGTCACAACAAGGATGGACAGAAATGTTGTAATGTAGAATATCACCCTTTACCAAATAGAACTAGGCATCCCAAATTCGATGTAGGCAGACAAGACCTTACCACGCCCGAATCGAACTACAGTCCTTCCTAAAATGGGCAGAATTCTTTCCTTATCTATACTTGGGATTACCTTCTTGTATAGAAGTAGGTATGTGGTATTCCCCGTCATGAAAGCTCTACGGGTATACAAGGTATGCCATATTCATAACACAGATACAACCTCAACAGTTCTTCGAGTCCTTCCGACCAGAATGTAGGATCGAACACAAGAAACCAAGCCTACTAGAGGGGGGTGAATGGTAGGGAAAACCAAAAACCCAAAAACTTTTAGCGGAAATAAAAGTTACCCTCAAATCGATGGAAATCTCGACTTAGTCCTGTCGCCGCCGGTCGGATTGTTTGCACGCCGCCAATCTAACCACCGCCTTGTCGCTGGTTGAACCGTCGGTATGTCACCGGTTAGACCGCCGAACTTGATGAAACACAAATCTAAGAACTCTCAAAATAGATGACAACTTTATTGCTTCTCTCTGTGTTTACAAAGTGCAACAACATCACTCCTTACAAAAATATCGAGTAAACTCGAAACCCTAACTAAACTATCAACTCTACGCTCTGAAAAACGATACCGGGAGGCCACCCCTCCCTCTCTATTTATACCGAAAAAACCTCCTACTCAAAGTAGGAGAACAACTCCTAGTCACACTAGGACTCTATCCAAATTACAATCTCCTAAAGCCTGCAGCCTCACAACCGACTACAGCCAATCCGTGTCCTAGCCAACCCGACATGGACACATGTCCGTCTCATACGAAGTCCTGGTCAGCCTCGGTCTCCTGCCATGGCGCCGCTCCTGCCTTGGACTCTCCGAGCCAAAACACATGTATATGCATACATGCATCCATGTACTGCCAACCACTACAGTACACTTGCATGCATTGATCAATACCACACATATGCATGCTACGGTACCACGTGTACTATAGCACCATATACTCTTCCTCAATTTCTCACTCCAGTCTCCTTCGCGAATACCGGCACTTGCACGCATACCTCGTGAAGCCCGTTGCGAAGATCTCTCCCACACGATGTCCATCCACCGCGTGCCATCTCGTATCCAACTTCGTCACCCGGTATCTTTGACCATCTGGACCTCAACTCCTCCCTGAGTTTAGTCCCGATCCACACCGTTGACCGAAGTTGACCTCCAAGAATCCTGACTCTAGTCACCTTCTCACATGGTATCCCTACCGCACTAGACCTCTGTTTCTCCCTGAACATAGTCCCAGTCCTCACCATTGACTAAGGCTGACCTCAAGTCACCTGCACACAATCAGACAAAACAACCGTTTCTGGGCACAGATATCACAACCTGACCCACATTAGTCATACGCACTCACACCAACATCCACACATACTTTCAAACCAATTCGTTGATTAAATCATTTGCATAGCCAATTGTTCATCACAAATATTAATCATGACAATGATTTCACACAGAATGTGTCGCCTGCAAGGTTTATCCTCTGTTTTGTCAACAACCGGATGTCTTGGAATGGCGTGCATTTGTTGGCAGGCACTATGATCGGCGTGCATCAACGCATGATCTGGTGTATCTGGTGAAGGCTAGTACATGCCTAACTCTGTTGTCGCGCAAAATGTTAAGGAATTCCTATAGCGTGTTTTGGATTTAGTAGTAATTTTGCGTTGATACACTGACATGTGACTGTGCCACAAACTATAGATACAGAAATGGATTGTTGGCGAAACAATGTGCGTAACAATAAATAGAACACAATATTACCAATTGGCTGAAAAACAAACTACTCCCTCCGTTTCACAATGTAAGTCATTGTAGCATTTTTCACGTTCATATTGAATTTAATCAATCAATAATTTTCTGACTGCACGCAAGCTAGTTGAATAACAAAGATATGTTTTGCTGTATGTGGTGCAGGCATACATCTTTATCCTTTCAGTTTTTTTCTTTTTTTTTTGCGATGATCTTTATACTTTTAGACCCTCTGTGCAAGAATAAAAGGCACCCACAATTTTAGATAAATCAACAGTTGTAGACTTTGACTAATAATTACACAAACAATATATATGTTTATTGATATTCATATGACATCATTATATTTGTATTTGGAAGTATTCTCATATGATGTCAATTTTATAGGCTGTCAAATAAACTTATGCGTCTTACATTTTGGGACGGATGGAGTATTCATTTAACCAAGCAGCCATCTCCTCTTTGAATATATCCATTGCAGGCCGTGGCAACAACATGGAGATGACGATTGACTTCTCATTTTTTTCATTCTTGAACCTGAATTGGTAACTTGTCGTATCTGGTAGATTAACAGTTGGTATACCGCCCCCAATTCGCTTAGCACATCCAATATCTAAAGTGTCCTGCCCAATCCATTTTATATCGCATGTTTCAAATATTCTCTGTACTTTGATATACGGTTTCTCATACCATAATGGCATCACATCCACCATCAATTGCATATTCTCTTCTGTCCTTATCTTGTGTTTAGCCTTGCGGACAAGTTCAATTGTGTGTTCAAGTGGGTTTGTGCACAACTCTTTGACTGTTGTCTCAACTATAGGGTACATTAGCCCATTGCCATAGTATCCCAAAGGAAGTTTTCTCCATCTCCCCCGCGCATTTATGATTATCTTTAAGAGTACATTTTGCCAAGGCTTATAGCCTAGTGCCACGGTGCGGCACCGCCACAAAACTGCAGTTAGTAACTCAAAACTTGTGATTGTTTTTGTGAGATTCAAAGGGACATTACGCCATAGGTACGACATCTGTTTTTCAGAGATGGTGAAGTATTCAGAAACCATATTTTCGGTGGGCATAGTCACCATAATGTCATCACAAGTGGCGCTCTCCAGTTCATCAAATAATGTTTGGTGTTCTTCAATGATGTGGGGTGATAAACTTGTTGCCACAAAGAGCTCCCTGTCCCAAACAGGCAGTACCGTTGGCTTTGCCTCACCACGTGCTATATCAAATATTGCTTTTAATAACTGAAATATGCCGGATCCATCAGCTATGCAATGACAATGGTAGGTTCCAAGGACAAATCCACCGCATTTGAGTTGAGTGATCTAGCAAAGAAAAAAAATTCTAATTAAAAAGATAGAAAGAAGATAATGACTTTGTATTAGTTTAAATGATTCTAAACTAGATATAACTCTATTATTACAACAATACGTGCTAGAAACTATTAAGAAGGCGACTCATGCTACATAGGTATTATAATATTAAAAATGAATTAACTTAATTAGGAAGGAATGTGGAGGGAGGAAGAGAAGAGAGAAGGTGGTGGGGCCATAAAAATAAGAAAATATCTGAGTTACAGTAAATCGAAGATATCTCTATTGTACGGATTAACTGTAGTGTTTAGTGATTAGTGTAGATGACATGGCCACCGGTAATAGGCAGCAGTGGGCTCTCTTATTAACCTTCTGTAATCCACCTGACCCATTTCTCGAACATCCATATATAAATGCAAGTAACCGTTTCGATTTTTCTTTTTGACATTCAGGTAATCGTTTAATGAAGTTACAGCACACGTGTATGTTGTTTGTACCGTGTATTTACAGTGCAAAAGTGTTCTTTTTACATTGTAACTTTTAGCTAGGTTTTTAATTAAGGTGCAAGTGATGAAGTGAATAAAAATTTTTAGATTAAGGCCAAAGTGCACACTGATAAACACATGCAGGTCGTTCAAATTATGACGTCTAGATTGTAACGCTGGATTTAATCCAACAGCTAGCATTTCCATTTTTGTATACCGGCGGGGGGCGCGGCCATATGGTTCCGTTTTCTGATATATCTATTTGTCTTTGTTGGCACATTATGTCACCCTTGGAATTAAGTAGTTAATTCTTGGTCTCAAACTGTGTGGCCTTAATCTTAATATATATCAGGAAAAAAAAATAGCGAGAAACCTTGATTTGAGGGGTTTATGCATCAAAGAGACAGAGATAGGTTTATTTTGTGACTTGTGAGGAGTGACCATCCAACACATGCTGGGTTTTTTACCTGCATGAAGAACAATGGCCTCCCAACGATGACTTTGGCATCTCCAACATCGCAAAGGAACTCATCAGATCCACGGAAAAGCGGCATCGGCGGCTCGCCCATGTCCTCGATCCGAACGTCCGCCTCCGCCTCCACGAACACCACCCCTTCGCCGGTGCACTCCACGGAGAGCTTCCCGTTGGGCAGTTCTCGCAGGCGTCCGGCCATCGGGTAGTAGTACACGAGGGCCTCGGCGAGGGCCGCCTTGATGGCGTCCGCCGGGCGGCGGCGGTGATGGTGGTGGCCGTCGTCATCATCGACCGCACGGAAGAACTCGAGGCATGGCTGGATGTAGCGCAGAAACCAGTCGTTGTCTAGGTCGGACAGCGGCTTGGTATCTCTCGGCGTCGCTCGCGCCGGTGCTACCAGCTCCGGATTCCTCCTACGCACCACGAACGAATCCTGCTTCATGGTTGTTATTCTATGTATGTACGTTTGGATATATAGGTGATATGATGCAAAAGTTAAACACAAAATGATGCTCGAGTTCTGAAAACAAATATGCATGGAAGGGTCGAATTTATACAGACTCTTGGGAATGGATCGATTGGTACGGGTCGGAGCTGCAGAAGCAAATCGTACCACCACAGAAAAATGGCGAATCAATATTTAATGCACAAATGCAGAAAGACCATAGAATATTTATTATTATGTGATCATATGACACATATACTAACATGATATCATATCTTACTACAAAGTTATAACCCACTAATTTTAAAGCTCAACATGCCACATCATCATCCACTAGCAATAATTACATATAAAACTTATGCAAACATGCAACATCATCTATAATTTATTGAATTTTACAAATCAACATCCAATCATCTTCCTTCACATTATTTTTCATAATATTTTTAACACATATATATATCAATCATTTTTATAATACTTAAGATGCATTCATCCATATAATCAAAGTGCACGATATCATATTTCATCAATAATTTCATACTGAATTTACTAAATTTATTTCTCTCTTGACATAGTTTGGCAAACCAGTTCTATTTTTCTACTTGTAGTTAATAACTAATATAATTTATACTTTTAGCTCGATTATTAAAAAAATATATTAAAAGTTACTTAGTAATTTCTGCAGCAAAGCACGAGAATCACCTAGTATATTAGTGAATAACGTACCATAGTTTTCTGTTGGAGTTAAAATAATATTTTTTTCATCTCAATTGGGGTCAAAATAATATTTCTGTCATTCTTTAAATTAAGGAAAAAAAACACTCCATAGGCTGACTACCTAAAGAACTGCTCACACTAACGAATTTTTACAGGTATTTTCTTAATAGAATTGTCAACAATAATTGATGAATTCAAAATTCATTCTTTAAAATAGATCTCACAATCACTAGTACAGAACTCATCTGTGACGGCCCCTCACATGCCTTGGTTTTGCGGGCCGTCACAACGAAGTCATCTCAGACGGGCCCAAAAAGAGGCCGACAAAGATATACTCGCACATACATGTTAGATATGCATAAAAATCGAGCCCATCACGGATGACACCTATCGGTGATGGGCCCCAACTTGAGGCTCGCCAAAGATAACCGATGATATCTTTATCGGGCACTAACAGAAGCCCGTCACTGATGTTCATCATCCGTGATGGGCTCTAACTTGAGGCCCGTTTGAGATAACTATTAGGCCCATCACCGATAAATGTCATCCATGATGGGCTCCATGTTGGGGCCCGATTGAGATAAGTATTAGGCCATTACAGATATTTATTGCACAATATAAAGTGCACGTCCTACGCTGCCACCAGCGGCCACCTTCCCCGAGCCCTCGTGCCGCCGCCCCTGTCTGGCAGCCCAGCGTCGTCGTTCATTGAGCCCGGCGCCGTCCCCAAGCCCGCATCGGCCGCCGTCGACCTACTCCACGCCCTCCCCCGCCGTCCTTACCGCCGCCGCATCAACGTTCCCCACCGTGCCCGAGCCCGCCATCCTCCACAAACCTCCTCCATGACATCCCCAAGCCAACCACAATCCTCCACCGATCTCCTCCACACTGTGCCCAAGCCGGTCGTTGTCCTCCACCGACCTCCTCCACGTTGTCCTCCGCCGCCCTGGGCCCGTCGCCGTGTCGGCCGCCGTCCCCGAGCATGCCCGCCACTGACGACCTTCCCCGAGCACGCCCGCCGCCTCGACCTCCTCCTTCACCGGTTAGAAATTTGTTCTAATTTACAACTCGGTTTTATAGGTTTTGATGCTTAACACTTGAAGATGTTAATGTGAATTATGTGAATAATGGATATGTATTCCATTGGATATGTGAAATATGAGAATAATGGATGTGTGTGTGAATGGATGTGTGAAATATGTGAATAATTGTATATGAATGGGGATGCTGGGATATTATGAAATATATTTGTTTATGTAATTTTGCACTGGGCATGGCTAGCAAAGGACTGAGGCTAGCCAAAAAACAGAATTTATATTTTTTTGGGGGGGAAATACTCATCGGTGATGGGCTTTAACTGCAGCCCGTCACGGATGACCTCATCGGTGACGGGCTTAAGTTAAAGCCCAATTGAATTGAGTCATCTGTGACGTGCTTTAGTTTGGGCCCGTTTGAGATTGTGCTCATCCATGACGGGCGATAATTGAGGCCCGATTGAGATAGGGTCATCCATGACGGGCCCTTGTTTGACTGGTTGTCTAGGTCAAATCTATCGGTGACGTGCTTTAGTTGAGGCCCGATTGAGATAACTTCATCCGTGATGGTCGTATGCCCGATAGATATGACTTCTCACATCAGTGACCTTTACGTCGTGACGGGCACCATACCCGACATAGATGGAGATTGCTGCCCGATTGAGATGTGGGTGACCATTGTAGTGAATTTGTTTGAGGGGACACCCCAATGGGAACAGTGATGCTTGTTATTTTTCTAGGAATTTGTTTGAGAGGTATTTGAGCATTTTGTAATCAGATTTGAATTTAAATTTTGATTTGAACTCTAGGAGAGGAGTGGGGACTTTTGGTGAGAATGAATTGTAGGACTTTCAAGATATCAAAACAAAGAAGGATTTTTAGGAAGAATTATAGAGGAATTTCAAATTGCAAAATTTGAATTTCAGGATAGTATATTTTTGTGCTAGAGATTTTTGGCTGAAAGGAGGATTTTGGAGATATTTCGGCACTTAGATCCTTAAGCACCTCCGAAGAATCAAAATTTGGAAAATAGGCTTTTTATTCAAAATAGGTATTAACAGCGCGAGAAAAATCAAGGGTTACACTATTGTATGTCATCATATTATATTTTTTTGAGTGAAATGCACCGTTAGTACCTTAACTTGCGAGGTGGGTGCAATTTAGTCACCCATCTTGTAAAATGCTCAAACAAGTCATTCATCTTGTTTTGGGGGTGCAAATCACATAAAACTTGTGTTGTATGGAGTGTTCGCAATGAAGTTATATGCTATGTTAATTTGTTTTCCAAACATGGTCACACGATTCATAAATAATCTAACGTGCAATATTACCGGTAGTAAAATCCATTTAAAGATGAATTTTGTTATTGATTGCCAAACACAATATGGTCGTGTTAATTGAAAGCTGGAGTAGTAGCATATACATGAAAATATAAGTGTTAATTTGTAATTTTAATGCTTATCCTGCCCACATTGGTAAAAAATGCATGATGCTAGGTCAATATGGACTCCAATTTGAAAACAAGCCATCTAGAGACCTTTAGTTTATCATTCATGATGAAAAAAATTAAAGATGGTGCTTCGAGGGTATCCATGGGTCTCGTGGGTGTAGGGGGGACTCGAGTCCCCCCTGCACCCACGTTGGATCCACCCCTGCGTGTGAAAATGTATTTGGTAACATTTGCACCATCGAAGCAATACGAGTGACTTGTTTGAGCAATTTGCAAGATGAGTGATTAAATTGCACCCACCTCGCAAGTTGTGATACCACCGGTGTATTTTACTCTTCTTTTATTTTCTACAGTATGATATAAGTGATTGCATGCAGGTCGTAGCTAATGCGTACTACAACACAAGTCTATGCCAGGGTTTAAATTTTCGTTTTCACTATTTCTATCGGTCCGAAATATTTTGAATTTTTGAACAATTTTTTTTCAAAGTCATAAACATTTGAAAGAGAACCAAAAAACATTTGGCCCAAATCATTTATTATCGCAGGGTCCGATAGAACCAAAATTTCAAAACTTGCAATTCGAAATTTTGAACCCTGCTGGTCTAGACCACGATCTAGATGCAACAAACGCAGTGCTATATAGCAACAATAATTGTCTTGGACTGATCCTTACCAACAATAATTATATACTAGAAAATCGAGCGTGCCAGTTGGCACGCCAACTTATTTATAGCCCCCATGTGTATTACACTTATATCGATTTATTTAATTTTCTAGAAATATATAAGATATCATCATGGTAGTAAAATATTTGTTTCGATTGCATTTATCTAGGTATTTTAACCTCCAAGCAATGTTCTTGGTGCTACTTACTTCTGTATCATTTTCCATAGAAAACGTTATGCTTGAAAAATATTATCATGACATTACAAATTTAAATTGACGATCAAAATTTGGCACTTTTGCTAGATTTTTGTGAGTGAAAGATTTTAGAATTATCAAACTTTAATAGTAGAGGTAAGTTTTGATAGATTGTTATATTGCTAAATTTTAGTAAAGCGCCAAAACTTGGTTAGGTTAATTTGGCAATGAAGTGAGAAAACCCGTAGAATGCGGTGGAAACTCTTGTTAGCAGCGAGTACGATGTTCTATGCTCTCCCCATCTTCTCATTTCTCATTTTCCAAACTCATCTCATACTCTCACGTTTTGCACATATTCGCTTCCCCACAGTTAAACCGTGGATTTGTTTTTTTAAAAAAAATACATGAATGTTGTTGTAAAAATGTATTAATCCATTTTTAACCTTTTTAGCTAATGATTAATTAATCGTGCGCTAATAAGCTATTCCGTTTCCCATGTAGGGGTAATAGGTTCCTGACCTGGCCCTCCTCCCGAACCCAGATGCGTCACTAACTTGTGGGGTTTATATCAATAATTAATATATTTTGTTTACAATGACATAATCAATTTAAATTGAGATAGCATATATTGTTTCATTTGGAACTGCTCTCTTATCAATGGAAAATATGGCCTCACGTCCTTCAGATTGATTGAATCAATCAATGTTCCAGCTAGATTGCAATGAACATCATATTAGTATTCATACATTTTACATTGTTCAGCATGTACCCCTATTGGCTAGTTCGTAGCTTCATCTTCTTTCCGATTGGTTCTTCTACACTTAGTCCTGTTTAGATCCAACGCTAAAATTTTGCACCCCATCACATCAAACGTTTGAACATCTGCGTGAAGTATTAAATATAGGCTAAAAAATAACTGATTGCACAGATTGCGACTAATTTGTGAGACGAATCTTTTAAGCCTAGTTGCTTCATGATTTGACAAAGTGATGCTACAGTAAATATTTACTAATTTAAGGA